CGTTTGAATCGTCAGTGGCAAATTCTTTAAATATGAAAACGTACTTACAGTCTGTGAGTCAGAACAGCCAGCATTGTAGTCTACTCTCCCAGGATCAGGAAACAGTCCTCCATAAAATGCGCTGCACACATCTGAATATTTGGGTTGAACTTTTGGAAGGCCAAACAAAGTATTTTCGGTTTCGCAACGAAACACACAGCGTCTTCACAACATGATGGCGGCAGTGGCAGCAACAATAAAGTTACGCCTTCTTTCTTTGCGTGAACATTTTGGCGGTGTTATGCAAATCTTCCCACATCGTCACGTAGACATGTGGGGGCGTGTTTAAACGGGGTGTTTTAGGAGGGTGTGAATCAGTCTTAACTTTTATAAAGAATATCTCTTTGGGTTTGAGACTTTAGTCTTTGCAACTTTAGGGATCTTATCTATGCACGAACAGCTTGTAACACTCCAAAGAGAAGGAAAGGAGAACGACCCCTTTAATGAGTTCTTGCTGAATAAAAAAAAAACACCCCAAAGTTTGAATGGTAATGTATAAAGTACCATAGTATTACCATAAAAAGAGTTGTGAAATTGTTCACATGATTTATCCATGTATGTTTGCGCTTACAGTTCTCAGTATGGTTGGGATCTCAGCAACTGCAGCTTGGCAGATGGTGTGGTGGATTCTGGGAAGGCTAGTGACCTGTCAGTCTGTAGCTGGCCGATCGAGCCGATTCAGTGGACACCATTCCCTTTGCTGCAACAGCTCAACAGGAATACCACCACAGTAAGACACATACACAAAAGGCTCTGGGTCTCATTAAAATGTGTAGAAACTGTCCTACATTTGATCTTACGAGCATTTATCAAATCTGAGTACGTTTGATCCCGAATACGCATAAAAACTAAAAAAAAAAACGTACGTACACCTCTCTTTCAGATGTGAAATTCAGAAATCGCAAATGATCTTGAAATTGTGCGCAGCTAAATGATTTCAGATCGCTGCCTTGTAAACACCACCTAATTAATGTCATTGACATATAGAGCACCAGTCAACATCCAAATCCATTACTTGAGAATTGTGAGCGGCAAGAATTGCTTAGTTTTCCAAATACCTGCAGTACTCCGACTCTCTGCCACAAGGAAAAGTGTCTACATCTGCTTAGACCCTGACATGGCGCTAAACACTTTTCCATGTCAAAGACCGTTTTTGTAAATATGAATGTTGGCGTGGATTTTAGGGTATGCACACTCTAAGATCAAATCTGTGCGTATGCACGTTTTATAAATGAGGCCCTCTATATCTATATTGTTGTAAATGATTAACACATAACTGTTCTTCATATCCAGGTGAAAGTGTTTCGTCCTCACTCTTACTGTGAAGGCATGGAACTTGTGGATTTAGAGAAGAGTTGGACAGCTTAATGGAGACTCTTAGAAAACCCGACAAGCTCTGGCCTAGTGTGAGAATATTTTATCTGTTTAAATAAGAACATTGTTATGCCAAACATATAGAGCCACTCTAATAAAATATATTTTAATTGAAAAAAGACTTCTTTGGGATCTCCTTCCAGTGTACACTACCATTTGAACATTTGGGGTCAGTAAGAATTTTTTTATTAAGGAAATTAATACTTTTATTCAGCAGTGATACATTAGATTGATCAAAAGTAACAGTAAAGACATTTATAATGTTACAAAAGATTTCTATGACAAATAAATGCTGTTCTTTTGAACTTTCTATTCACCAAAGAATCCTTAAAAAATGTATCACGGTTTCCACAAAAATATTAAGCAGCACAGCTGTTTTTAACACTGATAATAATAAGAAATGAGGAATTAATAGAAAATTCTATACTTATTCAGAAAGATAGAACATATTGTTTTTTATATAAAGTGAAACTTTTGTTAAAATTTGTTTGTGAAGAAAAAAATTAATAAAACAAAAAAACACTCCTGCTCTGTCTTCCAAAAATGTGACAGCAAACCTGGTGTTTGCATAAATGAACACACCAAATAACAGAGGTAGCAAGATATTTCTACATTTTCTGATTGGCTAACATGTTAACAAGGGTTCAACGTTCAGTCCCGTGACCCAGACACTAATGTCACCATCCTGTTGTGCCCTCATTGAGTCTAAAATCAATCCACTTAACCCTGTTACCCCAGGCCATCTGTCCTATCAATTGTATTGTCAGTAAATTTGTATAAAAAATATTTGTTAAATCACCAAATCCAATAGTGCACATAAAATGTACACTAAGGACTGAATGCTAATTGCTACAATAGTGCCATGAAAATTTCTCTTTTGAGGTTAATAATAACTTGCAATAATTGTTACCATACATTGGCACACATTAAAAGCTTAACAATACTAGTTTGTATGTATTTTTTTCTTATTTCTGTCAAAAGGAAAGGAACACAATGAGCCAAAAGTATACAGTGGGTACGGAAAGTATTCAGACCCCCTTAAATTTTTCACTCTTTGAGCAAAGGGTCTGAATACTTAGGACCATGTGATATTTCAGTTTTTCTTTTTTAATAAATCTGCAAAAATGTCAACAATTCTGTGTTTTTCTGTCAATATGGGGTGCTGTGTGTACATTAATGAGGAAAAAAAATTAACTTAAATGATTTTAGCAAATGGCTGCAATATAACAAAGAGTGAAAAATTTAAGGGGGTCTGAATACTTTCCGTACCCACTGTATATCACACCATTTGATATATGTTTATATAGTGATGGACGTAACGTGACGTGAAGGCCAAGTATGGTAACCCATACTTGGAATTTGTGCTTTGCATTTAACCCATCCAAGTGCACACACACAGCAGTGAGTAGTGAACACACACACACACACCTGGGGCAGTGGGCAGCCATTTTTGCTGCAACGCCCAGTGAGCCATAGGGGGTTCGGTGACTTGCTCAAGGGCACCTCATTCGTGGGTATTGAGTGTGAAAGAACGCACTGTTCACAATTCTTCCCATATGGATCTAGAAATGACTGATGAACCGATGGACCCTTTTCACATTTCTCAGAAACGGAAGTCATCATAGTTATGTATTTTTTGTGTTCCCATTTGCTTCTATAGCAGAAGAAAAAAAATCCAGCGTTTCTATGACCTAACAAAAGAGGAAAAAATATTGAGAGATTGATTATGGTGGTCAGAAGAGAAAAAAATGTCAAATTTGCATTCACTCCCTCAGCTGTTTTATTAGAAACACCCACACAGCAGTAAACTAGTTTTCTGTAATTTAATGCCAAGGTAATAAAACAGTGTTATAAATGTATTTCAATTACAATATAAAATGCTTTTCTAGATTTACGATGCTAATAACTGTGAAACGTGACATTGCAGTCTCTGAAAAGGGTCCATATGAGTATATGCTGCTCATGTGACCATGAAGAGTATAGCATCCGAAAAATCTGGACAAGGACAAGGCAGCATGTTCGCGTCTGCATAGAGACAGCAGAGGGCACAATAAACAGCACCATTTTTTTTTTTAGAGTCAATTCACTTCATTTAGTGCATAAAGCTAAAAGCGAATAATATGCATATATTCAGTGAAGGAAATAGCTTATCTTCACTCAGACCTTTCATATAGCGTCATAGCAGCAGGGGTCTTAAACCATTCTTTTTTACACCGGAGTTGTTGTTCTTGTCGCAGTGCCACTTTTAGACACAATTTGCACGTGTGAATTGTCATTCCTAGAATTCTGTGCACTGGACACTGGGCTTTTACTGGGATTTACTGAGTTTAATTTATAGTTCTGCGACAGCACGTCTCCGTTTTCCGGTTTGACTGAATTTAGTTCATGTGCATTTGGAAACACAAACCTCTTCTCGGTGCTCAACGAGTTCTGTATGTGCGGAAGCTCTCTTTCCGATTTCCCCGAGTTCTGCATGGTGAAAACATGAGGATTTGCAAAGCTGTTGTTAGCGATGACGGAGTTATGAAACTGTGCAAAACCACGGCCAGTGCCTAGGGAGTTGTGCGCGAGCGCGTGAGTAGCTGTTGGTGGTCCGCGTCCCAGAGCATAAAGCCCGAGGTCTTTCCCGTCACGGGCCGGAGAAGGTTCGCGGGTTTGACCCTGCCTCCAGCGGTAGCGGGAACGGTAGCTGGTCGAGCGCCGCTGCTGCAGGGAATGTGTGCTGCTTTGGAGTGAGCGCTGTGAACGTGCTCTCAACACACGGTGTGTATCGATGAACAGGTGCACGGTCAGGACGCCTACAGTCTCCGCTATGATGAAGGAAAGAGCGCCGCAGTAGAAGCTCCAGCCGTACCAGTGACTGCGCTTGGACTCGCTCTGGTTGGGGTCTCCAGCGTTAGATGAGATGTACACTATAATGCCAATGATGTTGCTGAGACCTAAAAGAAAAGATGCGATTAACTTTCCTTCTTTTGCTGCAATCCACTTGTGTTTCTATAACCTAACCATAGGCTACATTGGGGACAAATTTGCTAAGAAATGTCCCTAAAAGTTATCTCTCATAGGATTTCCTCGGAATAAAACGTGATCATATGGAATCTTAAGTAAATTATATAGCATTTTTAAATTATACAAATGCAAAAAAATTAGTATTCAAGACAAAATTTGTCTTCAATGCCATTTTCCAGAATCATGAAGTTGCCAAAGACACCAAAACAGAAATTAATACTTTATCTTGGAACCGATTCTGTAGTTTTATATGAACCATTGTACATATCTTTGTATGGAAGCCCTTTTATGCCACATAAAAAGTCAAAATTATGAGATACTAAGTCATACTTATGAGATGAAAAGATTGTTACATAAAAGGTTGAAATTATGAAAAAAAAGTCCTATATAAATTTCAACATTTCATTTCAGAATTGTGACTTATTCTCCAATAATTTTTTATTTGATCACATAATTGTGACTTACTGGCTCAAAAATTTGACTCCGTCACATAAGAAAAAACAAGTCATAGTTATGACATACAAAAAGTCTATTTTGAGATACTATGTTATAATTATGAGATACAAAGTGTGTGTATTATAACTACAAAGTCATAATTATGAAATAAAAGGACAAGCATGGGGAAAAATTTTAGAAAAATATGGGAAACTAATCATAACCATGACATTAAAGGTCAAAATTATGACATAAAAGTATAATTATGTATTATGACAAAAAGCCACATTTATGAAACAAAAGGACAACATTTCTATCACAATTATGTCTTTTTAAGTCATGATTTCAACTCATGTCATTATTGACTTTTTGTCATAATTACGACATTTAATCTAAAAATGTTTTGTCATAATCTCGATTTGTTTTCTTTAAATTTCCTATTTTTGTCATAATTCAGCTTTTTATCTCATAGGTCATAAGTTTGACTCTTTATGTTCTAATTATGACTTCTTATGTCATAAATATGATTTACTAAAGCATGATTTCTTCCATTTCATTGTCTTAAGAAAACCTCATAAATTTTGTTACAGTGCCACCTACTGGTAAAGGCTAAAACGTTACAAGTAAAGCAAAATCTGCTTTACTATGATCAAACAAGTTTACTCAACCTTATACTGGGCTGATATTGAGGTGCTTCACCCTGTGATTGCTGTTTGCAGATACAATCATAATTGACACATATGAAAACATCTATGGTACATACCCATTTAAACAATCAGGTAAAAGTCTATGTGCAGGAACATACCAGCTGAGACAAAAAAGATGCCTGCGCTCAGGATGACGTTGTGTCGGCTTTTGTAGAACTCACTGGCGGCTACACACACTCCACCAATGAACAGCAGTCCCACACTCATTATAGGGAAAAGACTAGAGGCACGCACAGCACCTGTCACACAAACACAACAAAAAATTATAACCAATCTCTAATAGTGTATTTTCACATTAATCTGTAAATTAGTGTCTCTGATATAAAGTCATTTGCAGTGATTTACTGAAGTAGAATTGAAATTAAAGTCAGGATGTTCTCTTGCAAAAATCTACAATGTTAGCAATGTTACCACCAGAATATATGAAGAGTTCAGATGCAAAAGCCTCTAAGTGCCATCTGAAATTTTCGTCTAAAATTAGCATTTTTATTAGGCTGCTATGTTTAGGTTCAGTAATTTTATTCTAATGGCAATGTATAGGTCCTTTTCTATGCAATTCAAGTGAAATAACTGAACATAAATATAGGAGCCTGATAAAAATGCCAATTTTAGAAGAAAATTTCAGACGGCATTTAGAGGCTTTTGCATCTGAACTCTTCATATATATATATATATATATATATACACACACACACACACACACACACATTACAACATATATGTGTGTGTGTGTGTTTGTGTGTGTGTGTGTGTGTATATATTCTGGTGGTAACATTGTTAGCATTGTGGATTTTTTCAAGAGAACATCCTGACTATAGTATTGTAACACATTTTTCATTTCAAAATTCCATACTCACCACTCTGTAGATTTTTCAGTCCGTATTCCACATAAATGGTTAATAAATTTTTCAATGTTAGATTTAGTATATAATACTGTCATCTCAGTATTTTTTATTGGTTTTCTTTAAGTGATAGCATGTGCTTACATGACAAGAACCTGCGTATATTCACCTGATGCAGTTTGATTTACAAAACCGAATGGCGGCAATAGTTTGCAAACAGTTTTTTTTCATACTCAAATACTCAATGACTCAATTACTCAAATTAAATTCAGTACTTTTACACACTTTTCCAAAATGTGTAGAAACAGTGACAATAACTCTAGTAACTGTGGGATTCAATTGGAAACTATGGAGTTCACAAGTGCTGCTTTTCACTAAGTTTTTTTTATTGTGTGTGTTTGACCTTTAACTGAATGTGAAACATTTGTAGATACTCACGCAGTAGATATTCTGCAGCATTTTGTTCATAATCTGCATCCTCTGGAAAATGATCAATGTTCTTACAAACCCCTTTAAATATGCCTGTAAGAAACACCAGACATTCACAATCACACATGCCTCAGTTAATGGCCAATGCCATTTTCCACATGATTGGACTAATGCTATCAAATCATTAACAATATCAATATTCTCCCATCTAATTAGACACTCTCAAAACACAGACAGGCAAACTGACAGAAAATGCCTTTCAAAGACAGAAAATGTGTTGCCCAGTTAAAAGAGAACTAGTTCTCTTTTAACTGGGCAACACATTTTCTCTTTCTCTCAGTGTCATTCCACATATCAAATATCATGAGCCACAGTAACTATTATTAGAGATCTAAAGCAAAATATACAAGCTAATTAAAGTGGGGTTCCATTGCTTTCTTTTGTTGTTGTTGTATAGTCACTGCATGGGCATGTGTGTGTGTGTGTGTGTGTGTGTGAAGTAGATGCCACATGCATGTACATGCATCTGCATGTTTAATAGCTGTATTTCTGTTGATGTATCTTTTTGTGTGCATAATTGATGTTATAGAGAACACCAATAGTAGAGAAAGTGTATGGTCTGTGTCAAACAGCTTTCATAAGTCTACTACTACCCTAAATATCTCACACACACTCCTGCATTCACACACGTAAAGTGAACGCTACCACTTTGATGCCCTTTTAACAGAGTGAACGCTTCATTACACTTTCCATTAAAAGAATTGACTTTGAACTGATATAGGCCAGAGAGTAGGAGAGGGTGTGACAAATGGGTCGAAACTAGAGGAACGTGTATTGTGCGAGAAAGTAAAAATAATTCCATCAATAATCAGATAAATAAATCATCCCACAGGGTTTGATTTGGCTCCAACTTATAAACATTTATAGTCATCTGACCCACAAGCATTACAAAAAAGTGGTGTGTGGTAATGACAGTGATAGTAAGATGTAACATATATACTATTAGAGTGAATGTTTACTATATTCATGAGTAATCCAAGGTACTTTAAAGATAGCATGATACATGAAAAAAAACATGGTAAAACTATTGTACAATGAAAAAAATAGCAAGGCAATTTTTGGTACTTTTTTGTAAACTAAAAAGTGGTAACCTGCAAAAGCTATTTTTTTTAACCTAATTTATCCCATATATAATAGTTTTCTTAGAATAAATTAATGTATTTAGGTTGATTTGGTAATGTTATACTATTTTTGAATACTTTAAGTTAATTGAAATGTTTAGGTTTACATTACCATTTTTTAGTGTGCAAGTATGTAGGCCATAATTTAATTATTCCAGTAACATTAAATCTCAACCAAATCCATGTGGGAAGGACATTTCAGAACATTTCTGTCATTTATTTCATTCATTCATTTAATGACAATCAATTTACCACAGTTTTATTGCAACAATAACTTATACCACAGGTATATTGCAACAGCAATAGCTAACTTACTTGCAATCATAAAATAAAAATCATAATAAAATCATAATTTGAGCTATAAAAAAATACCTTCCATGCAGCACTGTCTCCAGAGCCCCGAGTGCGTAAGTACCTCTTCATTCTTTCGGTTGGTGTCATTGTCATTCACGCTTTTGGTCCTGCAGACTCCACGCGAGTACAACCAGTAGTCGGTGCCCACCGCGATGGTCATCAGGCTGAAGGCTGCGAAAGCCCCCGCCGTGGAGAGGAGCATCTGCACTCCACGGTTACACACCTTCATCCTGCTCCCGGCTCTCTGGCATCAGTGTACGAGCGGCTTATCCACATGGAAATTCATTGGTGTTGATGAACTCTCACATGTCTGCGACCTTGTCAGTGAAGTTTGCGAGAAGTTTTGACGCGCGTTCCTCATGCCGTGCGCTTTTGCGCGTAAAGTAAGAGAGATTGGGGTTTATCTCTTTCATGAAGGTAAATCGTCATTTTAACGCTACAAACATACCTTATACATCAAAAATCAACTCCAAGCAAAACTTTCTCCCAAAAGTAATTGCGGTGAATTCAGGTTTTCTCGGTATTCCTACTGATAAGACCAGCATGCCCATGACTGATCTGTGTGCATTCCCATGGATCATGGTGAGGTGGTTTTGACTGAGCCTCTGATGGGTCTCTGCTCCTCATTGTGGATGTAAAGCACCGCCTCTCACTTTGCGCTCGATAGTGTCGTGATCAGCACAGATAAACTTACGCAATGCATCATTGGGTTAAATAAACCAATTTATATAACATTTTGTCATTTTCACAAGGTCGTTTACAATCAATTTGTTATAGCAACGCGATTAATTTGAGCGCATATTGAGAGAACACGTAGCCTACGTTTATTAACACCGTTGTTCAAATTACACATAGGCCTATTAGATGTTAAATGTACACCAAAATCTAAAATTTTGTTTTATAGTATATGACTCTTTTTGGACGACTTTGAATTAGTGTTGTTGAAACTCAAAAATAGTAAAAGTCGAAAAAAAAGGAAAATATAAATGGTTGGACACTATATAATTGGCTATTATATACACTGTAAAAAAAATTCCGTAAAATTTACGGTAAAAAACCGGCAGCTGTGGTTGCCAGAATTTTGCCGTAAAAAATACGGTAGCAACGTTTTACGGTTTTTACTTAAATACCATAATTTCATTAACTGATTTAATGTTAATATACCAACCCATTGAAGTACTGAAATCTGAAGGGGAATTTACCGTTAACCATTTAACAGGTTTTTACTGTAGCATTTTTACAGTCTTTTACCATTAAATTCACGGTCATTTTTTACAGTGTAGGCCTACGTTGTTTTTACATGTAGAATGTAACATGAACACTGTAAAGTCTAACTGTACCCTATGTTTCATAATCTACAGTTCCTGCTTTATATAATACTTTGATTCACAGGGAAGTGTTTGTATCCCAATGACTTACTGCAATGACTGATACATTAGTATATTTATATTAAACTGCACACTTTGTAAATAACATATCTATCTGCACACTAATAAACATATCTGTACATTTATCTAAACAATTAAATTTTTTCCTATACTTCTATTTCTGTATATAGTACATTATTCAATTTTGTATTTTTTAAAGTTTTTTTATTTTTATTATATTAGTTTTATATTACATCCCTACTGTGTTATTCCTATGTATGTCTACACTATCATGTATGTCTGCACTATGTTTGTACTTTCTTCTACACTGGAAGCTCCTGTCGTTAAGTCAAATTCCTTGTGTGTGTAAACATACTTGGTAATAAAGCTCTTCTGATTCTGATTCTGATTCTGATTATATTTAACAGGTTAAACCACAGGTACTATATTTATATTTATATATTTCATTCTGTAGAGTGTAAGGCATAACTATTAATTCTATTTTCACAAATCAGCATCACATATACATATTTAAAATATCATCCTTTCCACTTTGTAGTTGTTTTCCCACTAAAATCGGAATCAGAAATTAGAAAAACATATTTGCAATACTAGTATGAATATTAGGGGAGATGTGCCCCCATGGTGGTTCAGCAATAGACCTATCTGTGGCAAAGTAAAAGGGATAGTTCACCCAAAAATTTTAATTACTCCATGATTCACTCACCCTCAAGCCATCCTAGGTGGAGTTGAATTACTGAAATAAATGAACTTTTCCACGACATTCTAATTTATTGAGATGCTCCTGTATATGACTTTCTTCTTTCAGATGAATACAATCAGAGTTATGTAAAAAAATGTTAAAGCTCTTCCAGCTTTATAATGGCAGTGAATGGGGGGTGAGATTTTGAAGCCCCAAAAAGTACATCAATCCATCCATCATAAAAGTGCTCCACATGGCTCCGGGGGGTTAATAAAGGCCTTCTGTAAGACAAATTTCCATATTTAAAACTTTATAAACCGTAATCTCTATCTTCCGCTAACTGTCATACACGTGTTCACGATTCCCAGAGCCGTGTGGAGTACTTTTTTTATGATGAATGGATGCACTTTATTTTACTTCAAAATCTCGACCACCATTCACAGCAATTATTGCATTCGTCTAAAAGAAGAAAGTCATATACACCTAGAATGACTTGAGGGTGAGTAATTTTCCTTTTTGGGTGAGATATCCCTTTAAGCAGTAACCTTTTAAATAGAAAAACATCCTGAAATCGTTCAGGTACACATTTCTTAGTTTTCTTGCGAATGAGCCAGTAACCTTATGGACTCATAACCTTACAACCTCATAACACAAACTTACAAATATTATGAACACACAGTTTGGCATTTGAAAAAGCTTTAATAATACACATAGCATAAATAAATAACATGCAAAATATCTCTGCAATCACCAGCGATAGCCCTCCCCATAGCCAACCACTGCTGCTGTCTGGATGTTAATGTGTCATTGCTGACATGTATCTGTCTTGCATAGTATAAAACATGTTTTGGGGGGGATTGAGTCTTGTACAGGAAGCCCTTTAAAGCCATCATAAAAAAAATAAATCATCATTAAAATATGATATATTAAAACATGAAACTAAAATATTGACAGGGCCAGGGGTTTACAATAGTGCATGTTTGGTTGAGGTGTGACAATTGCCTTGGTCGTGTAAAGGCCACATTATTCATTTATTCATTTACAGTTACGCACATGCCGAAGAGATTTAACTCAATAGTTCAGGACAGGAATGCTAGTAAGGCTGTCAGCTACACGTTTTCATAAAACGTCCAGTTAAAGCAATTGTATGTAGTTTTGTCTATTTATGCGACTTTGCAGCTCAGTTAAGTGAGCGGAATTCACTGTCGTAAACATACCACTGTTGTAATTACACAAGCATTTGTTGCTGCCGCAAAGCAATCCGCCCTTTTTGCGGAATTTCATACCCATTCATCAAACTTACATCCTCCTCAAACGCTTGAGGGGAAAACGGAAAAGAAACAGAAGCCATTTGCTTTATTATAAGTCAGATTGATTTTTGAAACTGATGTTTCAAGGTAAAAAATTACATACAGTTGTTTTAAAATAACAGCTTTTCTATCCTTCTTTCTGGCGTTCACATCTTTATAGTTCAGGCTACAGGTCTTTCACAAACATTTTCCTCTATATACACTATACAATAAACATTATACAATATATTTATACATTATCCCCATTTTTCCAGTTATCACCTCAGGAAAAGCAGATACGCTTCACTGTTTACATGATCACACAATGTGTTTTCATTTGGAAGACTAGAATATATTTCTATTTCATATATCTAATTACAAAATAAAACATAAATGAAATGTTCACACACCATAACCCTTATTAAGATCTATGCTACAACAGATCCAACCATTACTGAAACACTTGGTTAATAAGTTAACACCGAGTTTAAGAGCAAGGGCTCTACCAGGCATGCATAGGGTAGACTAAAACTCCTTGTGGAGTCTGTTTAACACAGACACATGGCACATTACGAGCTCCCCAAACACTGCAGATTCCCCCACAAAAATATATGGCACATTAGGGTTTCAGTTGGTGGTTATAGTTCTTCAGCTCATAAAGTATGAATCACATTCTGTGCAGCCAGTGATATGCAACCCCTGATGCCAATTCAATAAACAGCACTAACGCACTTTGTCAAGGATTGCAACCGCATGCACCCGTCATCTGTTCATGAATACAATGAAAAGAAATGCTGAAACTTAATTCTTGAAACATAGTAAAGGTTGAAAGTGCATTATAACATTTTCCAGTCAGTATTTGTTATTCTCATCATTTTGCAAATCAGGAGTCTGCATTATCATACGGTTGCACTTTTCTGTGGCCTTATTGAAGACCTGTGTCTCCTAATTCATTATCCATTTTTTCATAAGCATATTTTCATCTATTTATTTCATGTTATTTAATGCTACAGTCACTGCTTTTTGAATTAAATTTTCTTTGTCATGCTTGCAGAAGGTTTCTTTCTTAGACTCGGTTTTTAACCATAAAATGGGCATTATGCAAACTTCTCTGTAAAAATCCAATTCCGCAACATAAGGGAAAAAATTGATGAATTCTTTAATAAATCATAATTATGACACGAAGTCATTATGGCATAAAAAGTAAAAACTGAGACATAAAAAAGTCATAATTATGAGGGGAAAAGTCAAAATTACGACATAGCTCAAAATTCTGACAAAAGTCAGAAGTTTTACACTATCAAAAGTCGAAATTGTGAGTCGACAATGACAAAAAGTCAAAATTGTAAACTTAAATGCATGAAACGTCCTAATTATTATGTAAAAAGTTGAAAATATGACATACAAAGTTCTAATTATGACAAATATTACTTTTACTTTTTAGGTCATAATTATGACTTATGTCATAATTACCTCTTTTATCTCATAAATATGACTTAGTATGTCATAACCACGAGAGCACAGAATTCCCAGAAAAAATTAAACTTAAAAAAACTCTTCAAAATCAATGTGATGCTTTCACAAATAAGCTCATTAACTGATTTAAGACTGTTTTAATATCAGACTTCTATTGATCTGCAATATACCTAATACACTTAATAAACCAAAAGGATATGTATAACAAAGGCAAACAATCAACATATTTCTGGGACTACTAAAGTGAACTGTTTTCATGTAAACATTTAGATTTTCAAAGCTTTTTCTATGTGCTTTTGAGTTGCATGTAAATTCTAAATCAAGCCTGATGGCCTATGTATTTCCTTCAAGCTATCATAAATAATGCATTTTTAAGAGCCTCTCATGAACAGAAGCCATTATGCTGGGAGAAAACTAAAAGCCATATGGATGTCATTATTTGACTGTTTTGCTGTAATGCTAACGCAAGCTTGTGCTGAAATCTCAGACCAAGCTGGAAGATATCAACCATTTATATGAACATCTAGCAATATATTCTTGAGGATATTTGCTTATCTACCACTTACTCATGCACAGCAACTTGACTTTGAATTGATAAAAAAAATGCTTTACTAATTTAAACCAGATTTTAACTTAAAAGGTTGCATTAAGCTTAATTAGCTCTGGAAAAAGCCATTAGTGCTGCATGTTGTCAGGCTAATTCTTTTGGAAACGAGGGGCTGCAGGAAAAAGCTGACTGAATATAT